CACTCCCTTCACAGTCAGACATTGCCATAGTACCTTTCGATCCACGGAGTCGAAGGCCGCCTTCAAGTCAAGAAATATGACAATTGTTGGACGCCGAAAAGTGTGTCTATGTTCTAGAATCTGTCGAAGAGTGAAGATATGATCTATGCACCCTCTACCTGGTCTAAAGCCTGCTTGATTTTCCCTTGTCTGTTCCTCCCGAGTTCTGCTTAGTCTATGCATGATTACTGAGCCTAGGATTTTAGAGACTATGTTCGTTAGGCTGATCCCCCTATGATTATCACACGAGGACTTGTTTCCCTTCTTGAATATCGGTATAATAAGTGACTTACCCCAGTCTGATGGCACTGTCTCTGATTCCCAGACTTTGCCTAGTACCTCAGTTAATCTACAAACTAGTATGTCACCCCCATATTTAAACACCTCCGGAATAATTCCGTCGGGTCCTGCCGCTTTGCCTCGTTTCAAATTACTGATAGCTTTTGTGACCTCACTTACAGACGGCGGACCAGTGTCTATATCCCATTCGGGTGTGTGGTGGATGTCGGGGAGGTTCAGTGTGGCTGTAGGCAAGTTAAATTGTCCCTCAGTGTTCTTTCCAGCGTTCAAGGCGTCTATCCTGAGAGCTAATTAAGGAGCCATTTTTCTCAGAAATAGTCTCACTTATGATTTGCCTTCTCCCACCCGTTTCCCTGATGAGTCTAAAGAGTTGCCTAGTGTTGCCTATCGCCGATGCTTTTTCCATCTCTTTTGCCTTTGTCACCCACCACTGTTCACGGTCCTTGCGGAGACTTTTAGTAAGTTTCCTTTTGTGCAGCTTTCGCTCCTCATTGAATTCGGAGCTCGCCGGAATAAGTCTTCTAGCATCTATCAGTTCGGATGAGGCAGTCGAAATCCAGTGGTTTTTACTCACCTTTGGATTTGCCTTATTCACAGCTTTTACAGCTGTATCTATAGCTGACTGAATATTCTTCCAGGCTTCTCCAGGGTGAGCACAGCTGTCGAATTCAGATATGCGTTTAGCTAGTTCTTCCTCAAATAGGGATTTAGTTTCCTGATCGAGCTGGGGACGTGATGGTTTTACCGCCAGCTGTTTCCTACGTCCGTTCAGTCGTAAGCACACACGAGCCCGGACCAGTGCGTGATCGGTATCTACACACGTGTTCCAGAAGGAGCGACAATCTCCTACCGACCCACGCCAACGATAGCTTATTGCTATGTGGTCTATTTGTGTCCAGCGTTGGTTTGATGATGGGGGTCGCCAGGTTAAACAGTGTCTCTCCTTGTGTTTGAAGTTAGTGCTTACGAGAAACAAATGATTATCAGAGCAGAAGGAGGGACACGAGTTCGTTCAAGGTTGCAGATACGCCTTGCTTATGGGTGAGTGCCAACTAGCACGAAACCTAGGTCCAAGACTTCCTGTGGTCGATTGCCTTCAACTATCTGATACATTGCGTTATTAATGATACTATTCATCTTGAGGTTATAAGCTATTTATTCTCTAAGTGTTCCAGCTTCACTCATTGTCTAGCCGATATCGACTCGTGACTCAGCCTATCTTGGAACTAACCGTTCTGTTTATATGCATTTGATAGTTCTCTTATAGGTCAGTGGAACTGTGGCTCATTAGTTTAAGCGCTCGACTTCCAACCAGTAGTGAGTCATGAGTTCGAACCCCTCTCCACTCCACCTACCAAAAATTTGGCAACCAGGTAATAATAAGTACCAATAGCCTTCATACAATAGGCATGACTAAATTCCGCTATCCACTGCATAGAATTGAAAGTGATTGTTTACGTCTATATATATTGGTCTCTTGGTTTCATATTTTTCATATTATGCTTCATGTGTAATTTTCATTTTTGTCTTGGGTTCGAACCCCAGTGAGTGCGTACTGATTTAGAGACCCTGGTTTTTAATGATTCTCTAACTGATATAAGCTCATGACCGAACCTTTTTTTGTTTCGTTGTTGATGATGACGAAATGCAACATACACTAAAAAAATGTCTTCACCTGAATTATGAAATACTTTGCCAGCATGTGCACACTCAGGTTTCTTTTCTTCGACTTCCAGTGAAGGCAATACAATAATAATGAATACAATTTCAGTATTATATATTGGTCAATTTTAAAACAATTTTTAAAACATGCGTTGTTTGTTTGTATCTAGTTAGTTTATCATATATATATATATATATATGTATATACGGTGAAAGTGTTCTTATATTTGTGAAGAGAAAATGATGAAATGCATTAAAACAAAACAAAACAAAACCAAGAATGGATTGATTCTCTGATATGCAATAAATTTCTTCATGTATATGCACATTTTATACTTTCACAGTTCACATTGGTATTATTAGTTGTATGTTGTTGTGTAGCAGTATTCATTGTTCGACCGGTGAACATTGTTATATTACATTTCGATGATTCGTAGGCTGCATGTCATAAAAGTGCGCACACACATATAGGTAGTGAAAAAAAAGAAATGTACAGAAGCTATAATAATAAACAGAAATGGGCAGGAGGAAAATTGATAAGGATTTTGGTAAATTTCAGAGTTCAGTAGGCGCGAAGATACATAGGCGCTATCATTCATAACGATTTAGAGCCATTGTGGCATGTGCTATTGTGATAAGATTTATTAGTACTTTATGTAAATAGACGTTCAACGGCATAAAAACATCAAATATCGGGGAGATAGATTTGATGTCAGAGAAAGCAAATGATACAGAGTTGCGGACATCCATGGGAGACGTAAAAGGAACACACAGTATGAAGGATAGAAGTAGCACAACACGAAAGGTCTGTGCAGATGGTGCGTTGGAAGATATGGTGTATCTAATTTGTCTGTATAGAAATACCAAATTCCAAATAAACATTCCTTTACTAAATCTCTCGTCTTATACCGTCACACCATGACACCGATAATCCCCAATTGTTGGTTCTTGGTATTCAGAGGACCTCAGCTAGATAGGTCCTCCTCAGCTAGACAGTCTACACTTCACTAAATGTCTCAAACCATAACAGTTAAAGACTTCATAGATAGATACCAAGCTTTGGTTTGATCACCCATGGCGGTCAACGCGCTCTACCAATTATTTGAGATATTGCATTGACCGCTGCCAGTGGGTTGATCGCTTACAAAATCTCGGAACGGATACAGAAGGCTCGTTTGGCCATATGTCGGTTTACGCCATCTCTGGCGTAGATTAGATATCCAGCTATCGACCAAAGTGCGGGTGTACTGCTCAGCAGTTCGCTCCGTCCTCCTTTATGGCTGACATGAAAAGACTAGCTGTCTTTGATCATAAGTGCCTCCCCGTGTGAAGTGGTATAATAAAGTGAGCAATATTGAGATTAGGCGTCGAGTGTTGAGTAAGGAGGGGAAATCAATCGACGAGGCTGTGAAGTTACATCGACTGAAATGGTTTGGACATGTGTTACATATGCCTAGCCATCGCCTTCCTCGACAGTCAATGTTGTTTGACATGGTATCAGGTTGGAAAAGAGCCAGTGGTGGTCAAAACAGAACATGACTTCATCAGTCAATGGAATCCACAACAGTTGGTTTAAGCTAGCCATGCAGGGAGGTGTAGTTTTCGCGGTTGGTTAAGGTCCTGGGGATGGTAAAAACCAATGAAGGCTGATGACAGTTGGTGATATGGCTCGGAGTCATCGTTCTCAATGGTTGGTGCAGGTGCATTCACTCTTTATGATTTGTCATCTACAATAGAACTATATTGTTCTTCCATATTACCATTCTTTTTGCCTCACATTTATGTTTTATTATCTGTGTTTTGAATCTTACTGTACTGTTTTCTCTTGCTTTGTGTGCTACGTGGAGGGAGTGTGGCGACTTGAACTGCTGCATATTTGTTGAAAGTTCTGCGTTGAAACCAGTCAATCAGTCAGTTGACCACCCGTAGACTTTTCCCAACTAATTCTATGTCAGCTAATATTGATCAATGAAGAAGGCAATGGCTTTGCATGCGTAATATGTTTCTTAGCCATTTCAATCGGTGTAGTTTCACAATCGCGTTGATTGATTTGCCCTCCTTTCCTAGTTCCCTCCAGCTAAGCTCGGTATTAGCCATAATGGTATACCACTTAACCTGGAAGATGGAACGTAAACATCATCTGTGGTCAAAGGCAGCTAGTCTCTTCAAGTCTTTTATTTTCATAGTGTCCTTACTTCAACTATTGAGTAGGATAGCGCGCACTGCTGTTTAGTATACACTTTCTTTGGCCGATAACCGTCTACATCAGATATAATGTAAGTTGGCAAATGCCACTCAAGCCTTTTGTATCCACTCTGAGATTTCACAAACTATAAGATGTACAAATAAGACACTTTGGGCAGGTTCTTTCTGAAAGCATTGACGACCGTTGAGATGTGGATGGTAACATAATAAAAGCATTGTAACATAAATATCATATGTCAGCTAACAGTGTTCGACCCTGTCTGATAGCTGCTGCTGTGCTGACATGGTAATCCCGCTTGTACACTGCAAGAACCCAATGGAATTTATGCTTCTACAGGTCCTATTATGCCATTACCATCGCAGTGTAATTCTTTCACACTTTTTTCCAGGCGAAGTTGTGACTCTGGCAAATAGCCGTGTAACTAACGGCAGTAAGGTGTTTTCCTCAGATGTGCAATACTCCAGAAGCTTTTTTGTCTTTCAGGAAAGAACTACCCTTGAGACTCGGCATTTCTAGATTCGTTCACCTATTAACTTTTGGGGATGTTCTGGAATAATAGGCTTTCAAAGCTTCACTAGATAACTGAGGATTGTAAGAAAGCTATCTGCAGTCTAAACAAATTGCATAGTTTCGTTACTCAGTATGCTGTCTTGTTTTCAGTGTAAATTAATTTTGTTGTTGTTGTTGGTTGTATAAATACGTGCTATTCAATATTTTCAAACAACTACACATTTTCTACGATTGTATGTTAGTTAATTTTTTAAACTCTCTTTATTTCGTTTTCTTGTTTTAGCTCTCAAATCATCGAAATATTGCCAGCTACTATGGTGCATTTATTAAGAAATCCTCTCCTCGAGATCATTTATGGGTAAGAAAGTTTATTATTGAATTGACTGGTGTTGATGGTGGTGATTAAGTGTGAAATATGATCATTTGACTGGTGGTCAGGATTTGTATCAACTGCTTCCAGATTGCTAGCTCGAAGACAGCCTCTACCATCTGTGCTACAAAACTCAGCTGCTAGCCCCCCAACCAGATGTTTTTCCAGTTACCCTGTGAATCACTGGCCTTATAACCTTCTGTTTAATATGATAATATTGTAAATGGAAGTCAGTCAGTTAGTTAATTAGTTAGAACTCAGTTACGCGGAACAGGTTTTCATGCATTATGCTATGAGTTATGCTATACTTATTGTGTGATGGCTTCTAATACTACTCAGTTACCCAGGCTGAATTAGATGGAAAGACATTCGAATCAGGGACCACTACCACAGTAGCTAGCTGAAAGTCTATCGCACAAGTCGATGAGTTGCTTCTCCATTGTCAAACTAAGTCTCCTCATTCAAAGTAGACAGGATGATCTTTTGTAATGAATCGCTTATATAACGGTCGTACGTATTAAGTTTAAGTTACTTTAGTTAACGTGATTATACACGAGCCAAAGATCGTCACATTTTGATGATTTATCAGTTATTCGGAAGATTGATTAGAAGATACCTAACATAAGTCCGTCAATATTACCACATTTTCTGTTTTCCCGTCTTTATTTTGAAGCCGCTAACATTGCTCATCCGGATATGATGATTTGTCGATCTATATGAATACATTTCCTGACACATTGTCACTGCTCTACAGCATCCATAAGCTCGATAAAGACATGATATATCTTCTCGGATAGATTTTTCCACACATATATATCCTTCAACAGGTGTTACACAGGGACTGCATATCCCTCTACATCTCCAAGTTTTGTTGCTTCCTTCGCGCCCGTTATCCTGACGGTACTGAAATATTAGCTCTGGCTGGAATTTGCGGTGTAATTTGTGTATTGCAATCACACTTTTGTGGATAGTGACTAGCAGTGGAATCCAGGATGCGTATTTCGTCCTATTTGGGGCTCGTCATCTGGATGTACCTGCCACCAAATAAATACTAGTCAAAATGCCTTGACATCATCGAAGCATCTATACAAGAAGCCGACATTTCGGACATTCTGATCACACACGTATTTGTCATACACAGTTTTTATAGAAGGCAAGAGAGCATGAATAATTACAATACAGGTCAAATTGTGAAGAGGTCAAGGTCACAAATAATGTGGGTAGGGAGACGCAAAAGGTGTGGGTAAGAAAGATAAAGAGAGGAAAAACAAGGCAAAGAAGGGGTTTGAAAATATTATGAAGTAAATTGGTCCTTGGTTGTAAATTGGATTACCAAGGCAGGTTTAAGGTGATAACAAATAACTTTTGGACGCATAAGACAGGTTTAAGTCTTTTTATTGCTAAGGCTTCAATGAATTTAAGTATGTGACGCAACCTTGTTTTATATATCGGCTTAAAAGCATTGTTAAAATCAACCTTATGACCCATCTCTATAATATGCTTCGCTATAGATGATGTTGGACGTCTATTTCCGAGGTCAATTGCATCTGACGATTTCATTTGTTGTTGCAGCCACTTTGGAATGTGTTCTGTAGCCCTAACATGCAGAGACCGATGGGTCCTCCCTATATACGTGTCTCCACACATACATGTAAATTGATAAACACAGTGGGATGTGACACTATCGTTCGGATAATGTGAGGGTTTACAGGATAGCATAGTTCCCGTTTTCTCTATGAAGATAAGTTTAGCTGCATATTAAGTTCTATTAATTGCGGCCTTTAGTCTTTGTCTAGTGACTAGACTTTGTTGATCACCTCTGAACGGCAAGGATATGTAAACATCCTTTGCTTCATAATATTTTCAAACCCCTTCTTTGCCTTGTTTTTCCTCTCTTTATCTTTCTTACCCACACCTTTCGCGTCTCCCTACCCATTATTTGTGACCTTGACCTCTTCACAATTTGACCTGTATTGTAATTATTCATGCTCTCTTGCCTTCTATAAAGACTGTGTATGACAAGTACGTGTGTGATCAGAATGTCCGAAATGTGTTGCGCCAATAATACATTACACGTTTCAGATAAACAACGTCTTCTTATTGTGTTGTCAAAATCATTATTTGTAACGATATGAAGGGGGGGGAGGTGGTGAAGATCGGGGAGATACGCAAGGTATACAGTGCGGTTCATTTGTCCACTACATTTGGCACTGTCATTTATGCCATCGTCTACCGTGCCTTCTCAATATGAATCATTTCTCTGTCTCTGTGTCCCTCTCTGAGAATGGATGGGAGAGAAAGAGTTTGTCACTTATCTACCTACCTACCTACCTCTATTACCCCCTAAGCTCTTGGATATTTTTATCAATGAATTATCTATTTCAACGTCTTGTCGCCAGTATTCATCCTACGTAGCTTTTTTTCATTCTTCAAATATTATATGTGTGTATATTACCCTAATGTAGGAACCAGTATCTTAAACTTAATCAATATATATATTATTATTATTATTATTATTATTATTATTATTATTATTATATAAGCTTTATTCCAAATCAGTACTTGTGATACAGAATGGAATTCTCAGCATTTTACTACAATATTGCATCCAGTTTTTGTTTACATTAACAATAAATAAAGTTCTACATAGTTTTAAAGATTATCTCAACAACATATTAGTATGTCGGTAGCAAAGCCAAAATTAAAATGTTTGAAGGTGTTACAAAAGTAGATACTACTAGCATATTTACTGGCGTAAGCGATAGCAAAATGGTCGAGATATACAGAGTGTAAAAGAACGAACAAGAAAGTTTTAAGTAGAGTTTGCAAGGAAGAGAGAAACAAAACAGCACATAACAAAAATAAATACAGAATGAAGAGAGAGAAAACGTTGTACCTATAAATGATGTGAGATTCATTGGTTCTAGTGACTATTTAATAAGTTAAAGGTTTCATGCCTGATGCATTCTTTATCACACAGAACACGGGCTAGGTAGGGTATGGATGAGTTTTTGTACTTACTAGTGCGAGCATATAGTTTCCTATATAGACTTCTTGTTTTCCCTGAAGAGATACATGGGGAGAGTTGTGAGTGTAGAGGGTGTTGTGAGTCAGATAAAATGGACTTCGCCCATTTTTCACATGAGTCCATGTGCCTGTCCACCAGAATGTTAACAAGCTGGCTAAGTGGCAAGCTGCTTATATATATATATATATATATATATATATATATATATATGCGTAGTTTGACTCATTATATTTATGTACATTTATTCTGGACAGAATATTATTACATGTCTTTCCATTTTGTCCTGTATATTGATGCTAGACACACGCTGTATGACTTTATATATACAGTATAGTATTTAGGTGTTTATAGGTGATAGATAGACCATATCAAATGGACACATTTAAGTGTCTGTAAGAGTGAAATTGAATATCAAAATAAGTAGGAAGTTTACGGCATACTATGAAGTTTAGTCAAAAGTAGTGAACTACCTTCTCCATAGAGTAATACAACATACATAAGTCTTTGTGTTGTTCTTCTCCTTCTTCTTCTTCTTCTTCTTCTTCTTCTTCTTCGACATATCATGCACTCATTATAATCCCCGTCGGTCATCAGCTTTAAATTGCCTCTTAATAATCCACCCTGTCATCTCACCGTTGTTGTTGTTGCTATTCTTCTTCCTGTTTTCCTCGTCTGTTATGTCTAATCATCATCATCATCATCATCATCATCACCCTCACCATCATCATTATCATCAGTTCAGATAAACAACACAAGATTATGTTATGATTTTGTTTCTTTTTGTCATATTTTATGTTTCATGTTGATATGCCCCTTTTTAACTGCTGCTATTGTTATTGTTATTACGATTACTAATTGTTTCTCACTACGTCATACTACTACTGTCTAACTGGTTGACTGACTGACTCATCGTTATTCACTTTCATTTTGATTGGTAATGAGATGCGTGGACAATATAACTACACGACATTGTCGACTCGAGATGAAATGTTGGGAGGGGGGAGGAGTGCGAGATAATAAGATCAAAGCAAAATCTATGCTCCTACTGTCCTTTCTTTTGTTTGTTTGTGTGTGTGTGTGTGTAGCGCTACTTTGTGTAGACACACATTCCATGCGTCGGTGGCACAGCGATTGAGGCACATGCCACCCATGCATATGGTCCGGAGTTCGATCCCCTGCCGACGCACACCTGGTATCAATCAATGGTCGGCCTGCAAAATTTAGGCTACCGATATCACATGCTGAAAATTCCATACCTGCACTGAAAATACGGTGTAGAATCAAGCTATAATCAAAATAAAATAAATAAATAAATTACAATGCTTGTGGAGAAGACTTTAGCTGTATTCTGGTCTCTTTGTAATTCATCTGTTTTACCTTCCTACTAACATTTTTACATCTTTTAATTCAGTGTTTCAGATACCCTCAGTTCGATGAGGGTGTGAGTCTGCATCGATTGAGATGGCTAGAATACATGCGTTGTACACACCTGCTATGTGATCTCCTTCCTAGGTGAGCAATGTTAGCCGACATAAGACTGCGTTGTCAAACCAAAATCCGGAATTAGTTTATGAAATCTTTTACATTTAGTTTAAACCAACCACATAGAGAGGTGTAAACTGCCTAGTTAGAGTCGTTAGGGGGATGCTAAAAACCAATGACGCTGGAGACCATAGCTGAGTATTTTAACCGTAATGACTGAGGTTGAAATGATGACCTGGTTAGGTAGAGCAACAAGTGCATTGTGGGCAACGAAGTGATGCACCACATAAAATCTCATAGATTATGTGAGGGCTGAGATACTAGGCGGACTCCCCTAAATGAAGCAGGTGGTTGTTTTAAGAGGCCACCTACTGATCCTTTGACTTCAAGTGTGATCCACAAGGTAATCAAGCAGCGTCAGGAACTACTTCCACTTGGTTGGAAGGTGGTGTGTGTGACCGAAACTGGCTCACAGGCC